AAAAGAGCTGCCGGTTTCAAACCAGAAGCACTATTTTTCGTTTTCGTGGCAGCTGGCTAGGTGGCAGAAGCCTGTTCATCAGCGCAGAGAGGAGGCTGTCTCTCAAAGAAAACGCGATTATTCTACCCCGTGGTCGTGCAATCGCTCGAAACGATGCACCGTTGAGCCCGGAGGCTTGTGCATCGTCGTCGGTTGGCCGCAAAATGTCACATGGTTGTCGGTGCGGCGGTGCGCGGCCAGGAAAAAGGCCGTGGATCCTTTGATGCGCGTGTAACGCGGTAAAAGGGTGGCCGGCGTGCATCCGGATCCTTGGCTGCACTTTTTTGTCGCACGCTGGATTTAGCCGGCTCCGATCCAACCGCCGGCTTTCGCCACACATCGCCGTTGCTTGACCCGTTTTCTCTTGCGTTCCGCAATCTCCCTAGGGATCTCGTAATAGAAACTGGGGAATTCTAGTTACCTCTAGTGCTTCTGGGCGAGCCCGGTATTTGAAAACAAAGTTCGAGACGTTGTGAATTACTGGCGCGTAATCCTAGATACTTGGCGAATGAATTGTGTCAAAATTGGGAAATTGTGTACGTAATTTCGACATTTCTATATGTAAAATGGCACGATGGTACTTGAGTTTATAGTTTGTGCAGTGATGGTGTAAAAACTGAATTTACTTTGATGTAGGGTTTGAAATAATTTTATGCTGAAATTTAGTTTACAATCTATCGGAGCTTAGAATTACTTCCAAATATGTAATATAACGCCCTAACGTCCTAAATTAATACAAAATTCTGAATTTTCATATCTTACAGAGTTCGTTACTTTCAAAGTTTAGAATTGGAGGGTGGTTCTGCACGAAAGGAAAGTTCCAAAGAGTGTTAATTCGAAGTTTTCGCAAAGGCCACTGTTGTAACTTGAGCTTTTTCAAAAAGTCCAACAATCAATGTAGTTCTCAGCTCGTTAATCGAATCATCCATCGAAAACCAAAAAAAATATCTGTCATCTTGGAATTAAAAATCAATTCCAGACGTGTCAATTCTAATTTTCTAATCTAAATACGTATATTGATAAATGCAGAAGTGACTCGATATGTTAAAAACACGGGAGATTCAAACGAAGAGGATCTAACTCATTCTTCCCAGTTTTAACAGAGTTGAAAAGTTGCCGTAATCTGTGCCAGTTTCAAATCCAAAGTTCCCTCATTGCTCTTTCTTCGTCTCATAATATTCCCGCCGATATTCATAAAAATTCGCGCAAAAAAGCTTTGTGAAACACAGCGGCACAGTTGAACGACGTAGATTAGGATTTCGATGTACGAGGCATCGCTATTTTCGAGCGTTGGTAATGCTTCGCACCTCTACTTGGCCGACTCTTCGGTCAACTTGGTTGCGAGAGATGGAACTTCACGGTCTAATTAGGAGTTTGGTGCCGCTTTGAAATAATCATTCGCCGTTTCGCGAGTTTCAGAGATGAGCAAGTTGTCAGAAGTTTCGTTAGAACCAAGGTTATTAGGGTACTTGTATATGTGTATATACACACACACACACCTGTATAATATCTGGTCCAAGGCCTGCGAAATTCCTATTGTCGATGAGACTAATCTTGGATCAACCTTCTGGATACTTTGTCTGTCTTTTAAATCACAGCCGAGATATTCTCAGCCACCATACTCAAATCTTGAGTTTTTTTTTTCTATTATTAGCAGTCGATATCTAGTTAAATATTTCTGTAAATATAGTAGAGTCGCCTCCCGTAGCTGAGCTAATAGAGAAACAGAAATACTTCTTGACATTAAATTGCATGTATCTAAATAAAGGTCAAATGAAATTTACGTGGATTATTCAAGAATGTTATACCTGTTTCTTTTAACTGCTGAATTAAATATTTAATTTCTTGTATATGTAATATAATATAATCAAGTGATAGGGCAACTACTTTCTTTGAATTGCATGCATCTAAATGGAATCTTCAATTTAAGAAAATAGTTTTTTTTAGATATTTAACAGTACTATAGTTCTTCGTAGATACTAAATTATTTAACATTTTGTGTTTCAAGCCATTCTGAGATATGTCTTCTTGCAACTAGGAAATTTTTTTAATAACGTTCGTCAATATCCACATGTGTTTATTAATAATATTTCAAGAATTACCATACAATGACTGGCGTTATGCGTGTCATGTAAAAGGTTCAAAAATTTTCTTAACATTGTAATGGACAATAGTTACCATGATAGTAATCAATTCGGAAGCAACATGTAAATGCACATAGAAATTACAAGATATTTTTTGCAATTGTTTACATTTAGCAAAACATAATTTGCGGCAGTCTGAAGATCTATGATCTTCTCCGTGATCTCTGCAAAATGCACGAGCCACTCTTCATAAACTGAAAGGCAGAAGAACGTGATGATGTTGCAAATACTGTGTTTTAAATTTATCTGCTGTTGTTTATGTCCTTTTTGCTGTAATAATCTCATGGAAGTAACTTTTTTTTGTTTTAAGATTGAACATTAACCGTATTTATACGTAACAGAACAGAGAAAAATTAATAAAAAGTAAAGCCGATCAGTCCGGTTTCCGAAAATATTCACGCATCGGATATCTTGTAATTGTATTCTGCAATTTGCTTCAAACTATGTCCCAACATAATCGCGATGATCTGGCACCAGTGTTAATGAGGTGTCAGCCAGTCTCGTATAACTCGCTTAATGCACTCGTAAAACAAGAAATTCTCATACATATTCAAATACCTTCAAGTGTAACATATTTTTCTAATCTTTCGAGATTTCAAAATCTTGAAATCGTATTTCCTAGAAATCGCTCGATCTGAAGTTTCTTCAGCAACGATCGTCCTGTTCGCCGTGAATCTGCTCCCAAATCACAAATATAACGCGTTCGCCTTTAAAAAAAAAAAAAAAAAAAAAAAAAAA